GCCAAGTCTCTCTTTAAAATCTAACTGAGTCCTCAGAGGACGCAGATCTGCTCCACAGAGGAGAGTCAGTGAATGTTCCTCAGGCTCTGAAAGTGATTCCCAGGGCAAACGGCTCCCATGGGAGTACAGAGCTCCAGCCCAGGGTGAAATAACCGGAGACCCTGCAGAAAGGGCCAGGTTCACAGGACATGGACCCTGAGAAGCCTCACAGCAGCAGCCAGGGCTGGGCTTCCCAAGCAAGCAGGCATGCAAATGCCCAGGAGCGGCCACTGTCAGGCTTTCCCCCCGGCACTCAATGGCAGGAGGCTGGGCACGTGCACAGGGGTGTGCAGCTGTAGCCCTGCAGAGCTGGCCTAAAGCAGATCTCTCTATTTTCACTTAACATTCATGGGAATCCTTCACCCAATTCCATATTTTATATATTCATATGTATAATAAATATAATATACAAATAATAAGTATATGTATATTTGTTTAATAACACCCAAAAAAATTACCATCCAGCACAACAAATGTGCTATGTTTGCGACTCCATCTCATACCTTAGCCTAGTGTGAGTGCGGCTGCAGGAAATGCAGACCCCCGGCCCCATCCCAGCCACAAGAATCAGAATCTGCATTTCACCCAGAGCCTGGAGTGACTCACTTGCACATCAAAATGTGAGAAGTGCCACTCTGCCACGTGCTACGAGGAGCCTGAACACCCTCGTCTGAGAAGCGTAGCTGCAGAGGATTTTTGGGAAGTGCTGTTTGTGGCTCTCCATCTACAGCTCAGTTTAATTTTCTCCAGAGCACTTACATCTGTTTGTGTGCTTAGACTATAACTTTCATGAGACAGGGTATGTTGCAGACTCCTGCACAGAGAATCTTGACTATGGTAAGTGCTCAATAAAAGAAGCTACCTGGGGTGGGGGTGGGGGGGGTGAGGGACTGGATTGTACATCCGGTGTCAATCTTTTTATGGGAATTTCCATATAAAGAATTTTTTTTTTCTCTTCTGAAAATCGGAAACAAAAAGTCACCCTGAACTGTCCACACAAAAACCTGTTCCTAAATGTTCACAGCCGCTGTATTCGTAATAGCCAAAAATTGGAAACCACCCAGATGTCCTTCAGGAGGTGAATGACTAAACACACAGTGGTACATCCCAACCACAGAATAGTACTCATATAAAAAGGGAAGAACTACTGATACACACAACAGCTTGGATAGATCTGAAGACAATTCCACTGAATGAAAAAAGCTAGTCTCCAAAAGGATATTGCTCTAAATAAAATGTTTGTGTTTCCCCGAAAATTAATATGTTGAAATCTTAACTCCCAAGATGATGATATTAGGAGGTGGGGCATCTGGGAGGTGATTAGGTCATTAGGGCAAAACTCTGATGAATGGCATTAGTGTCCTTATAAAGAGACCTCAGAGAGCTCTGTCCCCCTTCCACCGGGTGAGGACGCAGCAGGAAGACAGCTGTGCACGAACCAGGACAAGGGTCCTCACCAGACACTGAAGCAGCCAGAACTCGATCTTGGACTTCCAGCATCCAGAACTGTAAGAAATAAATTTTCATCTTTATAAGTCCCCCTCACCCCCAGTCCCCAGTTTATGGTATTTTGTTACAGCACCCCTCACAGACTAAAACAGGTACATGCTATTTGATTCCATTTACAGCCCAGCAGTTGCACGGGATTGGAAGGAAAGATGGGTGTGACTGTAAGGGGGCAGCACAGGGACCTTTGGGAGGACAGGACAGCTCTGTATCTCGACTGGGGTGGTGGCTACACAATCTACACAAGTGATATGTTGTATGGACCCACACACATACACACACACACACACACACGAGTGTATATAAAACTGACAAATTGTAAGGTCTGTGGATTACACCTACGTCAATTCCTGATTTGACATCGTACCATAAACATACAAGATGTTACATTGGAGAAGGCTGGGTGAAGGGTGCAGGGAACTCTCTCTCCTATTTTTGGAACTTCCTTTAACTCTATAATTATTGCAAAATAAAAAGTTAAGAAGATCACATTGAAGTGTTCATGGTTTAGATAGAGACTATGTCTTGTTTTAAAACATTGAATTAATAAGAGATCATTTTATACTGCTCAGCATGACCTAACCACAGAAGTGTTTTGATTGCTACTGTACAAAACACATCTCCCTAAACAAGAGAGAGCAATTGAGCTGAAAGTAATTAAGTGTCGATGTTCACGTAGACTTAGAAGTAAATAACCCCCCTGAAGGCTTAGCCTCCTGTTCTCACGCACCAGCGTTGGGCCAAGAACCTGCAGGGAACTGCCCTGCTCAGGGGTAGGATAGCTGAGCACAGCAGCGGAGAAGGCCGCGCCTGGCCTGGGCGACAGGGCCGCTGCTACTGTCATCTGGTTGTGTTTGAGCCCCACCGCCAGCCCTGTGACTCAAGCCACGGAAAACGGCCTCCAGGGCATCCGTCTCCCAGTCAGAGGCCGAGTGGGGAAGGCAGAGGGGGTGGGGTGGGCCTCGGACAGGCTCCGCCCTGGAGAATAAAAGCGATGCACCTCCACAAAACGTATCAACACTTGAGTGTTTCTAGCCTCTGTCTCCCCTCATCCTTCCAGTCCAACAGGCAGGGACCCCGCAGGCTGAGGCCTGGGACAAGCTGGGGGAGGGGAGGAAAGGGGGAGAGGAGTGTGGGAAGAGGGGAAGTGTTGGGGGGAGGGGAATGTGGGGGGAGGAGGGACAGAGCTGGGGAGAGGAGTGTGGGGAGGGAGCAGGGGGGAGGGGAGGGGGGTGCAGGTGGGTGCAGCACCCCTGGGTGAAGAAGCCAGAAGGCCTTGAGGTGATGTTGTCAGGGATTAAGGTGGGACGGTCCTCACTGTTCCTCAGGAGGTTCAGGAAAGTTGGGACTGAGTTTTGGCCACTGTAGGGTGCATGTGCTGAGGCTGGGCCAGTGGGCTAAGCTGGGGATCAGTCTGTGTCCCATGTAGAAAATCCTTCTAAGAATGGAAGGCAAGGTTTTTCCCCGAAGTCTGCAAGTCTAGGGGCTTTTTCTCTAAGATTTAAGCCCCTGGGACCTGCCTTTGGTTCCCAGTGGTGACAGTCTTATAAGTGATGATGTCATTTAGGACCATGGAGGCCAAGAGGGGGCAGAGCATCTGGCCCCTTCCCAGTCTGGGCAGGAGAGGACGTCCTGATGAGTTCAAGGACAGAAGACTGGTGTCGGGAGGGGACACAGCCCAAGGACAAGCTGAACTCACCTGGAAAATGGTACGAGCGCCTGCAGAAGCGTATTTTGAGAAGATCTTGCTGAAGAGCCTCTTTGGAGAGAATTTTCCCAAAAGAGATCCCGGAGGGACGGTCAGGCCAGCACAAAGGCTTAGTTACCAGAGGATGACAGATCCCTAGCCCAGATGGCCCTGGTCCAGCCAGCGGACACCCACACGGAATCCTGGGGCAGAGGTTCTGAGCCGAGACAGGAAGAGGGGTCTTCATCGCAAGCCAGCCAGCCAGACCTGGGGGCTCGGAGAGGGGAGGGCTTGGCGTCCACTTCTCCCAGAGCAGCCCTGGCTGTGCCTGCACAGAGACGGCCCCCTGGAAGGGACTGAGGGCGGGGGGTCAGCAGAAGGGACTGTGGGAGAGTAAGGGCTGGGGAAGCATCTGGGGTGACCACCAAGGGCTGAGCCACAGGCCCTGAAGTGCGATGAGATCTCTCCTAGGGACTCTCAGAGACCTTGCGGGGAGGGAGCGCTGCGCTGCCAGATAAAGAACGAGAATAAAAGAATGGAGGTCTAAGTGTGAAAATTTCACCCACTTTCACTTCAGTCTTGGGGCCAAGAAAGTGCAGATGTTCCATGGTGGCAATCTGGATCATAATGGCCTTCTCTGAGGGTGTAGGTCGCTGTCCCCCTTTATTGAAGGTTCTCTCCGAGGACTAGGCAAGGGCCCGCTATATAGTCATGCCAATACTTACCAGTGGAGTAAGTTTGCTGTAGAGTTTCACCACCACAGACTTTGACATCAGCCATTCTTAACCCGCTGTCTCGGGAGACCACTTTGTGGACACCGAACATCAGGTGGAAGCAAAAAACACAACGGATCAGCCAGGAGCTGCTCGGACTGAAGAAGAGATGGTTCCTGTCCTTGGCCCTGCGATTCCTAAGGCTGCAGACAGTGCGGCCGGACATGCAAATAAGGTCATGCCGCAGAAAGGGAGGCTGACAAGGATGCCCAGGTGACTTACCCCTCGGGCGGCACCTGAAAACCTTGGGAAGAGAGGAGACCCATGGGGAGGCATTCATGGTAGCCTGGCATACGGATGGATGGAGAAGTTACGGTCAGAGCGACCTTTAGTTCATTACACAGTGAGGGCGGAGAGCCGAGCAACCAAGGCCAAAACCTGGACCTTCCTGCCTCCGAGAACCCTTGGGCCGCACAGACTGACACCTCATGAATATTAATGGCCATGGGCTCAGCATTTCCTGAATATTCCTGTTCAAGTTCTGCATTCGTACTTCAGGGGACAAGGAGCTGGTTGAATTAAGATGCAGCTCTTGCTCTTTTATAAAATGTTGCGTTTAATTCTATTATTATTCTCTCCTTCCCACCAAACCCCCAAATTCTGCATTTACATTTAGCGATTCCTCACAAGGTCTGCTGGCAATGTCACAATGTCACTTCCCCAGCAGCTGAGAGGAGTCTCTGGCTTCTTCACGTCAGCATCTCCAACATGTGCCAAATCTAATTCCAGGGAGAAAGAAAATGACGTGAGGTGCTGATGGAGAACAAGCCCCCTCCAGCTGTGCAGGGAAGACCCTGGCGTTGTGCAACCTGGGCCAGAATTCTGCTGTCATTTTTGCTGGGACTGTTGCTGATCTGAGCATGTTCCATGGTTTCTCTAAGTGTCACTTTGACGTCTCTAAAGTGTGGGAGATAACAAGCCAGTTTCCTATGGCCACTGTAACAAACCATCACAAACATTGTGGGTTATAACCACCCATATTAGCTTACCATTCTGGCCATCAGAGGGCTTCGATCGGTGAGCAGCAGGGCTGCGTTCCTTCTGGAGGCCCCGGGAGGAATCCGTTTCCTTGCCTTTTCCAGCCGCTCACATTCCTTGACTCGTGGCCCCTTCTTCCGTCCGCAGAGCCAGCAGTGGCTGCTTGCGTCTTTCTCGTGTCACATTGGCTTCTGCCTCATGCCTCCCTGTACAAGGACCCTCGTGGTTACACTGGGCCCACCTGGGTGATCTAGGCTGAGCTCTCTATTTTAAAATAAACTGACTTGCAATCCTAATTCTCGTTTGCCAAGTCACAAGCTCTGAGGATTAGGATGCGCCGTCTTTATGGGGCCGTCGCGGCAGACCGCAGCTCCTACCTGATGGCGTGGCGGCGAGGTTGACATGAGGGCAGGCAGCACAGCGATCCCATGGGGTGGCTTTCTCCAGAAGCTGCTATGCTGGGCACATAAACACCAGGAACCTGGAAGACAGGCACCTTCCTGCATGGTCTTCAGGACCCACTTGTCCCAGAAAAGGCTGCAAGCCAACCTTTCCCGCCCACTGCCAGTCTTAGGACAAAGTAATGATCCATCAGGGTGTAGCCAACCCCCTGCAGCCTTGGCTTTCCTAGAATCAAAACAAATACCCTCCCCCATCCCACCCCCACCCACCAGCAGCAAAGACACTAAGCAGGATCCCCCCTGGAACTCCAGGGTACACAGAGTCATACATCCGTGAACCTCCCCTATTGGTATTTGGGGACAAAGCCCCAGGATCCCATCTGGAGCCAACACGCCCCTTTTTTGCTCTTGAAGTAACTAAACCCTTGTGCGTGGCCAGTCTCTTCCCCGACACAGCGGGACCGAGGAAGCCAGTCCCCGTTCTCCCTGGGCCTTTCCCCACATCCTTTTCCTTTAAAGCCTGAACCACGATTCCTAGCTGACAGGACGTCCTCACTTCCAGGTGGCCTGTCTGCTTAATATGTGCACCACTCAGCAGGCTAACAGCCTGGGCAGTCCCCAGGTGGTAAAAGCTCCCGCTAAAACTCTCCACTGAAGAGTCTGTAGAAATGGGTAAACTGTAGCAGTCTTAATTATTGTACCCACACAACTTGGAGGGCACAAAGGAAAGAAGTGTCCTATCCATAATCACATTAAGTGGTTGAAATAGAACCGGCTGAGTTTATTTCCGCACGCAGTGTAGTCCAGGTGGAAGGCATGAGTTTGGGATACATCTGTGCTGGGTTTGAATCATCAGGCCATCCCTCTAGAACTACCTGATCCTGAGCTAATTGCACTCTCTGAACCTGTTTCCTCATCTGTAAATTGTTGAGAAGAACCTACTTTGCAGTATTATCCTTAGGAAGGAAACACAGACACCAACCCAAGTTACCACAGCTGGTCCCGAATGCTGTTCTGCTGACCTACTGCTGCAGCTCCAACTGTCCCAAAACACAGTGCATTAAAGAGTGATCGTTTTATTGTATCTTAGAGTCTGTGAGCTGGGAATTCAGGACGAGCTTCAGCAGGACATTCCCCTGCTGCTTGCAGTTGGCTGATGACAGATACACTTGCTGGGGAGGGGCTGGCCTGGGGCGTGCAAGACAGCTTCACTGGTAGGTATTGACTCTCCTTATTCACATCAGTTATGTTCTATAAAATGATCATGAACCCTGACCTAGTGAATACAGAGCCGTTGCTCACAGGGGATGTCAGGGTGAGGTCCTCAAGAGCTTCTGGCCCCTATATACTTCTGTCAGCTGGTCAGTATGTAACCTTGTTTTATGGGTGTTGCTGTTTAAAGACATGTTAATATATATTTCTTCAAAATAATCAGTGAGATTGATTTTAACTTAGCAGTATTTCTTTATACTAAACACTAAAATGCTAGCTGAGGAAGACATAGGCCGCTGACCCCGGGGAATGTGCCGGCGAATGTCTTGGGCTTTGAGGCTCACCACGGTGCGGTCCACGACACTTGAGTATTTGTTCTTAATCAGTCATCGTCTCATGAATCCACACATTCAGCCACTTCCATCGCCTCATCACGTCCTGCAGGTGTTACCGTAGCACTTTCCGGAGTGGCCTCCCGTACAGGCTGGCAGGCTCCCTCTTCCTTCTCTGAGGTGTACCGAATGTTCATTCATTTAGGTCGAACTCGCGGCCAGCAGCACTAAAACTCATGCCTGAATGAAGCTTCCCTGGCACAGCTGTTTTCTCTGAAAGGCATGTCGCAGCCTCTTGAGGTAGGAGCCCCAGACAGCCTTTCAGCGCTATGCCAGGCGGCCCCTCTAGATAACAAAATCACCAAGAAAAACACAAAAATGTGGAAAAAGTGGCCCAAAATGGACCTGGAGAAGGACACCTACACACAAGACAGCTGAAATGAGAGAGCCGAGCATCGCCTTGTGCAGCCTCGGCTGGGAACGTGTATGCTTGGGAGACTCGAATTCTTTTGCCCCTTCAGGCAAGTCCACGAACGACTGCAAATGTACCGCCAGGGTGGATTCTGGGGTGAGCAGGAGAATCACAAAATCGAAGTCTGTGAATAAGGAGGACCTCGTGGGATTTTTGTGGGGATGGCTGGGGGCTGTCCACCTGGGCATCTCCACACGGCCTCTGCAACATGCGGGCCCCAAGGTCACTGGCTTCTTAGGCGCCGCTGGCTCCCCCAGAGGGGGCATCCTGAGGACCATGGGGAAGCCGTGTGGCCCTCCTGACCCAGCCTTGGGAGTCACAGCGCCACCCTCTGTTGGTTCCAAGCAGGCCTGGCCTCAAGGAAAGGAGAACTGGTCTCCACATGCAGTGGGGACGTGTTGTTATGGCCATCTTTGGAAAATACACTCGGCCAGAGCACGGGAAAAACAACTGCTATTATTTGATACAAAACAACAACCACAAGAGATGTTTCAACCAAACACCCACCACAAGGGTAGAAGTAATCATTCAGAAGGGTTGCTTTTGGAATTACTGGTATACTATCAGCCCTGGCTGCATCTTTAAGGAAAATATAGACAGGAGCTAAGGAAAGTGATAAGGCAGCCAGTCATATAATCCAGGATTTTGAAAAAACTCAGACATGTTTAAATCCAATTAGGACAGAGTCTGATCCCAGCTAAGTGCCAGGAATTTGCATCTGAACCACTGTGATCTAGAACATACTCAGAAACAAGCTCCTGAAAAGCCTATTAAAAACATAGATTTACCCAACCCTGCCTAAAATATATGAACCGGTAGGTCTGCAGCATTTTTGACAAATATTCCCAAGCGATCCTAGTGAATAATCCTGGAACAGGCACCCTGCTCCAACCTAGGGACTTTGGGGAAATGGTCAGTGCTGCTCGGCCCCTTTGGGAAATACCACAACCATACATAGGCAGGTCTAGGCCCACCTCACACTCCCAGGATACACTGGGGGTTGGCCAAGGCCCATTTCCCCAGTCGCTATAAAGTGCCCTGGGTGCTGTGACTCTGTGACATACAGCCAGAGAGCAAGATGCAACAGGCTCCCAGGGGACTCGGAAAGTCCTCACGGGAAGTAGCGTGCTGGCAGACAGGCGTTGAGGCCCACAGTGTGATGCTCACTGCAAAGGATGTCTATGCCCCAGAACCTGGGACTTGTGAATATGCTGCCTTACATGGCAATGGGGAATGCAGGTTGTGGATGGATTGAACCACACACCATATAGTACTGTCATCCATCTATCGCGCTGAAAAAAAGACAACACTGCGTCCGGCACATCACAGGGTTCAATAAATGGCACAGCAAATGACTGAAGGCTTCTTTGTTTTGCTTTACTTCTATCTTCCAATACCTGTAAATAAGCACTCACTTTACTTACTTATGTAAAAGAGTAGTTAATGCAAGAGGTCTTTAGAAAAAGCATAGAGTGAGGGAATTGACAGGGGTTGAGGGTTAACCCGGAGCTCTTCTGTAAACGTCAGTGACCTGCCCTGAGCTCACCCAGTCTCTACAATCACTCACAATCTTTACAGTGAAAAGCAATGGAAACGTATTCAAACATGCAACAAATACTTACAACTCAAATCACAGATCAAGGGCTAATCTCCAGACAATATATATCCAGTTCCTAGAAAGTTTTAGGAAAAGACTTTAAAAAATGAAACAGAAACAAGGACAAATGACATGAAATGTATGAATTCATTGCAAAGATGCTTGCTTCATTGCAAAGAAAATACAAAGGGTTGTTGGTACAGTGAATATACGCTGAACCTCATTCTTCATAAGAGAAAAGCAAATAAAAACAGTACCAGAATCCATTTAATAGCACTCTGCTAGCAAGGTTCTCAAGGAACAAATGCTTCCATACACATCTGGTGAAAGTTCAAATTTGTACAGTCCTCTTTTAGAGGAATTTGACAAAATCTACCAAATAACAAATTAGTTACTTTCGTTCATCCATTCCATTTGCGGAATTTACCTGACAAACCTACAATGAGATAGTTCAGCTTTCTCTGCAATTAGCAAAATATTGGAAATAACCCAAATATTCTTCAACAGAGGACTGGTCTTATAATGATATATCCATTTTGCGGGACACAACACAACTGTTTAAAAAAGAATAATAAAAATCAGTAGGTGTGACATGGAAACTCCTCAAGATAGATTGTTAAGTGGAAAAAGCAAGAGGAACAATGTGGATAATATGTCACCTTTGGGGTAAAAATGAGGGGATAGGAAACAAGACTAGACGTTTGTATTCGCGGTATGTATGCAGGCAGGGTCTCTAAATGGAGCAGCGGCATTTGGAAATGAGGGTGGAAACGGGCCCAATGGCTGATGAGGATTGAAGGTATTTTCACTCTGCACCATTTTGGTTTCTAAAGTTAACGTTTATCACTGCATTGCTCGTGAAAATTTTAGTTAGATCAAGAGCATTGTTCAGTAATTAAACTTTGAATGTTCCACATTGCAAACAATAGATGTCTCCACCGTAAGACCCAGGAGCCTGATGGAATGGCCCGTAGAGAAGCATCTTGCTCCTCATGTAAAATACGAGCCTGGAAAGCGCAGCGGGCAGCTTCTTAGAGGAGAAGCCGGCAAAAAACTCAAATGCAGGAACTGAAGTTTAGAAGCATAGCTTACATCATGTCGGCTTTAATTCCTGTTTCTAAGTAAAGGAGATTTTGACTGCGGTATTGAGACATAATATAAGTTTATTATTGGTTTTCTGTACTTGTTTTTTCTGATTTTCCTCTTATGAAAGTACTGTCAGTAAATTGATGGCGTTCCTGTATAGTCACTATTGGAATATGTTAAGGACAGAAATGTCCTTAGTAGAAAAAGCTTACCAGAAAAGGCCCATGATTCCACATAAAATACACTTTTTTCCAAATGCTTCTAATTGTACTGTTTTGAGCATGAGAAATCTGATACAAAAAACATAATTGTATTATAATAGGGTCCAAATGTGTTCAAGGTGGCAGTTCTTGGATGTTATTATTCTTCATTGATCCCTTAAGAGTTTAAGTAGTACCTTAAATATTACCACTTTGTAATATTTAGAATGTAAGCCCATCACCAAATCATTCCCTTGTAGTTACACAAATCTACATTCTACCCATTTAGAAATGGTCTTTCCTGCTTAATTAATAAAAGAACCAAACAATTTATCACACACCTGGGACACTTTTCGAAAGAGCTGAAAAAGACACTCTTAACTCTGTGGGGACAAAGGCCTTAGCCAGGCCGCCAAGGCAAACAAAGACATTTTACCTGCTGTTGTTTCATAATAAATGTCAACTGCAGAATTTTTGTAAGGCTGGTGTGGTGACAATGAATTCTGTCTTTCCAGTTATGATGCAAATTGCTTCCAGAGGGCACCACTTGAACTCTTTTCTGTACAAACACATTGAACAGACCTGAATCAGTTCGCAAACCCCTCCAAACAATCTGAAAGATCTATCCACCGAAACACCTCATTTTTGACAAAACTAATGATGTGTCCACATGATGAATGACTGGCCTGACGAGTGTGATGAGGCTTTCACCAGTTACTCTTGCTGCGGTTTATTTGAATTTATTGCACATGAGTCTTCTCCTAATCTGGAATTCATGTGTACTTTTTAGTTATTGTATTATATTGCTTTCTAGGAGAATACCTTTAAATTTTAATTTCTCTACATTCAAGACGCAACATATCTTACCAAATGTATGAAGGCAGTAATACTCTTGACCCTTGAATAACACAGATTTAAATTGTGCAGGTCCACTTATATATGGATTTTTTTCCCATAAATATATTGGAAAAATTTTTGGAGATTTAAAATTTTGAAAAACTACTTTCTTTTCCCTAGCTTACTTTAATGTAAAAATACAGTATATAGTACAATAAGTACAATAACATACAAAATATGTGTTCTCTGACTATGTTATCAGTAAGGCTCTGGTCAACAATAGGTGATCAGTAAAGTTTCAGGAGAGTCAAAAGTTTACGTGGATTTCAGCCATGCTGGGTCAGCACCCCTAAGCCCCATGTTGGTTCAAGGATCAGACGTTTAATTCTTACACTAGTATCTCCCAAAGCCAAGTCAATCCATGCCAGGAAAGATTCATACCAGTTTGCGGTATATGTACTAAAGCAATAGTTCTAATTATTTCACAGACTCTGTCAAATCATTCTGATCATGTGGACACACCCCAGATCTTCTCATTCTGGTAAAGTGCAAACAGTACAGCTATCACTTTACCATTAAGCATCTTACAGGGAGTCTTGGAGAACTTAGGGCACCCATGAGTCCCTTGAAATTTTCTGCAGCATGTTTTATACTTGTGTGTGTGCATGTTTTTTTTTCCTCATGAAAATGGTTCATAACATTTATCAGAGGGATTACCTGAGGGCCCAGGAAAGGTTAAACAGACACACCAGAGTCAGAAGGGCATTTATTCTTCAGACATGTGTGTCCGCCTAGGTGGGACGTTTCTTGCTAGGTCTTTCCATGAACGGAAGCAGCCTGTGGTCGCACACAGTCCGTGGGGCCCAGCACCAGGGGTTACCTCGCAGTGGGCCTCCCCTGGCTCACCACCATCCTTAGGCTGTTCATAAATATCCTTGAATATACAGTGCTCATTTTCCTCTTCATTTAAATGTTTGCATACTGACCCAGTGTGCACTCGTACCCCGACTTAACTGGTGAGATTGAGTCAAGACCTCTTCTCAGTGACCTTTTCTTCCTATGTTCAGATTTCTCCTCTACACGAAAAGAAAATTCTCCCTCACTACATCCCATCAATGCATTGCTGATGAACTGAAATAAACTTTTCCTGTCTATATTAGAAAACGTTAAGACTTATCCTAATATCTGTTTTGACAGAACATTCAGTAGAGAAAGAAAAAACTGGCCATTTTAGACAAGTGAAATGAAAACAAACTTTCTGAGAAATTACTCAGGGGTCTATGAAGTTCTAATCTTCCTTTAAACTTATCATGGCCTCCGATAGAAGTAAGTCTTTACAGGAGGACCCGAGCTAGGTCATTAGATGGGGCGATAAGGACCGTCTGGGGACACTCAGGCCTCAGACTTCGCTAGAGATCTTGATTGACCACATGCAGGGATTCTAAACTGCGGTGATTCTGATCCTCTGCCTCCTTCAGAACAGATTCCATGCTGTTTCCTCTCGTATTTCATTGAAAAGCTTAGACTAAATCATTTCTATGGGGGAGACCTCACTGCACGCCATGTCCACCCTCTCAGGATGAGATTCCACGAGGCATGCAGACGCAGCACCACCCTTCCGTTGTTCTGTGTCATCGTCTCATGGAGAATGTGCTCAGAAGAGCAAAAGGCTGTCCGCAGCTCTACTGATTTTTCCCCAGCCTTCGACCCTGCACACAGCACTGTTTGTTCTGCCCGATAAGGAAAGTGTCTGCATCGTGCAGTGTGACTATCACCTCTGTCTTGGATTTGTGTGAATTAGGAATTAGAGGCTCAATGAAAGATGCCTCTTTTAGGCTCTGTCTCAAATCCACAGGAATTTGCCCCACTTTGTCTTGCAAGCATCACTTGGCCTTCTTTTTTAAAAAAAAAAAAAATGACTATAATCAGACCAGGCGTCAGAGCCCTGGGGCACGGAAGGCTAATTGGTGCTGAAACCCCTTAGGAGCTCTTAGTCAAGAGCCAGCGACATCCCCATAGGAGTTCATATCCGCAGGCCTGACTTCACTCTGAGGACACAGTCTGTGTGGCTCAGAAGTTGTTTTCTAACAGTAGGATATGAAGAAATGTCTGCCTGAGTCTACGCGGAAACCGTTCTTTCTCTTTCCGGTTTAACTTGGCCATCTCTCAGCTCCGCTGAGAACCAAGGGTCAGAAATCCATCCTCGTCTGCCTTTTCTTGTTTCTCGTGTAGATGGCCACACACTTCATCCTCCTATTTCAAAACCATCCTGGTTCCTGCCTCATAATGCCCAGCCATGTGTTGCCCTGTTACATATATTCAATTTCTGTATCTTCTTAAAATATGAAATGTTTCAAAATCAACTGCCTAATTAAACCTCACAGGATCCTATTTCAAAAAGCATAAAAGCCCAGGGAATAGTGTGCTTACCTTCTGAATCTGATTACATAAAACTATGAAGTAGGTAATTTTCCACTTTGGATTGCCCATGACTACATCAGGGATATGTCTCAGAAAATGCAAATATAATCGTATTTGCCCAACACTATGGTGATTACTTCTGCCTTACAAATAATGATATTTTACAAATAGATAACAGTTTCACATCACAGCTGATCTGACTGTTTAGA